CACCACAGAGCTATCCTGGGATCTCAAAAAGCAACCCAGGAGGCCCCTTCCAGGTCGATCCCTCAGAACCGCAGGTGCACGGCCCCCGCGGCCAGGTCGCCTGCCTACCCTTGGCCCGCTTCCCTTGCTTCCACAGCCGCCCTCTCCAGACGGGGGGGAAAGGAGATTCTCTGCCCGTGCCCTCTATGCACAAACACCTCCCTCTTTATCAGCCAGTGACAAACACTTATTTTATTGTTATGCCTAAAACAGGGATTAAAAATTTCAAAGTCAAGAGAAGCTCACAGCACATCTTTTAGTTCATAGAGACCCAAGAAAGTATTCTCTTTTTTTTTTTTGAGACACTGTCCTGCTCTGTTGCCCAGGCTGGAGTGCGGTGGCGCCATCTCGGTTCACCACGACCCCCGTCTCCCGGGCTGAAGCGATTCTCCTGCCTCAGCCTCCTGACTAACTGGGATTACAGGCGCCCGCCACCACGCCCAACTAACTTTTTTGGTATTTTTAGTAGAGACGGGGCTTCACCACATTGGTCAGGCTGGTCTCAAACTGACCTTGTGATCCGCCCACCTCGGCTTCCCAAAGTGCTGGGATTCCAGGCGTGAGCCACCGCGCCCGGCCAGAAATTACTCTTACTTGTCAAACTTTCTGGTCCTATCTTCTAAAATAACAACATTTCTCTCAGTTCTAAAGGTAAAACACTACATTTTACTTTCAGAAGCATTAGAACACTTATTCTAATCCTTTAAAGAAACATCCTTTTGAGTATAACTAATTATTGCATAAAAGTCAGCTTCAACTAGGCGCCACCAGCGGCTCATGCCTGTAATCCCAACATTTTGGGAGGCCAAGGTGGGTGGATCATCTGAGGTCAGGAGTTCGAGACCAGCCTGGCCAACGTGGTGAAACCCCATCTCTACTAAAAAAACACAAAAAATTGGCCGGGCGTGGTGGCAGGCGCCTCTAATCCCAGCTACTTGGGAGGCTGAGGCAGGAGAATTGTTTGAACCCAGGAGGTGGAGGTTGCAGTGAGCCGAGATCGCACCCTGCACTCTATCCTTGGAGACAGAGGAGACGCTATCTCAAAAAAAAAAAAGTCAACTTCAGTCCTTGCTAGAAAGAACATGGGAGTTCCACGTGGAGCAGAATGGAGGTGAGTTCTTAACCACCCACAGGGCTTCGGGAAGTGAGGGGCAGCCCCGTAACAGCTGTGGCATCCTCCTGCCTGGGTGCACACCCCGCCCTGACCCACAGAGGAGAGACCTGGTCACTGCATTCTTGGCCCCCGGGTACCTGTCTGGACCAATGCAGCCGCACGAAATCCAGAATCACACAAACTGTGTCCGCTCACAGTTCCACAGCCATTAGGAGGCGCTAAGGACAGAGGCAGGGTGGAGGGGCACTGTGGAGGCGGCACCGGCCAACAGCCTCGGGAACGTGGAGTGTGCAATGATGGAATGAGCCTGTCCCATGTTCCCCAGGCACTGGCGACCTGGGCCCACGCTGTGTCAGCGAGGCTCCTGGCCCTGACATTTTTCTCCCCAAGGGAGGCAAGGCCGCCCCCACCCCCACCTTTAATCTTGTCTTAGTAAAAGGCGAGACCCCACTACCTTCAAACATCTGCACCCTAGGGAGGACCTGAATTGTATTTTTTTTTTCACCTGCCATCACAGCATTGCTAAAAAATAACCCCTAAGATTCTTTCATTCCTTTACTTTCCTAATAAACTTGCTTTCACAAAAAAAAAAAGAAAAAAAAAATAATAACCCCTAAAACACTAAAGATGGCTGGGCGCGGTGGCTCACGCCTGTAATCCCAGCACTGTGGCAGGTCGAGGCGGGCGGATCACCTGAGGTCAGGAGTTAGAGACCAGCCTGGCCAACACGGTGAAACCCCATCTCTACCAAAAATACAAAAATTAGTCAGGCATGATGGCGTACACCTCTAATCCCAGCTATTCGGGAGGCTGAGGCAGGAGAATCACTCGAACCTGGGAGGCGGAGGTTGCAGTGAGCCGAGATCACGCCATTGCGCTCCAGCCTGGGCAACAAAGTGAGACTCCATCTCAAAAAACAAAAACAAAAACAAAAAAACACATATTTTCAAGGACATAATGTTTACGCAGTCACCCTTGGTCCACGTGTGCCCCGCTTCCCGAAGGGGCGTCTGACGTCCCTTCATCACATCACGGCCCACAGTTCAGAGATGACTAGCCTGCCCCGCTCGGGGACGCTGACTGCCGTAAAAAGGCCGCCCCCGGCCCACACTCGCTCTTTTCAGGGGCGGGAGACACAGGCAGCCTGTGCCGAGGCTTGGGTCCTCCAAACACCAAAGCCCTGATTCGGGTGTCTGACGTTTCCCAGGTGCAGACGCTTGCGCTCCTGCCAGGTTCAAGGCACCGCCCCGCAAGGAGAAGGAAGGCGCCCAGAGGACTGCAGTGAGATCTCGCTCTGAAGAGCAGAGGGTTAGAAAGGAATGAGTGGGAAACTGTTTCCACCGCTCAGATACGGCTGGTGCCTTAGA